TGGCAATATACATGTAGGATACATAAAGTATATTTGCTTTTGTAATCAGCCAGCCAAATTTGATGCCAATAACTGCCTTTTCTGATCTATGTTATCAGTGTAGAAATGTACATTAGTATTTACGGACAAAACATCATTCATGGTGAACAAGACCAGATTTAAAAAATGGTGATCATACATGACCCAAAAATGCAGGAAACGTACCACAAGCTGTAGGATCTAAGGCTTATTTAATTCTAGGTCTATGATGAAAATCTTGTGTAGCTGCAGGGAATGGTCGACTTTATCAAAGGCTTTAGAAGGGGTCTACACAAACAACAATACAATGTTGATTACAATCCAAAACAGAATTTACAGCAAGTGAGATTGCAGGATTGGGATGCTTACCACTTAATCTAGATTGTTGATCATTTAATCCTAGAAATCCTTCGAAGGGATTCCAAAAACTTGGCAAGGAGACTAGGACAAATTGGGGATTGGGCAACATTATATATTACAGCTGCAACAGTTTTTCTTTTGTACTGTATGAGCCCATAAGCAGCTTACAGACACTATATGTTGGACATTTTATTACTAAAGAGACAGCAAGTTTAAGAGCAATATTCTTCTGATCAGTAAAATTTACAATTTATGCAATTATCAGATGCCATATTTATCAGCGCACACAGACAGTGAGTTGTCATCTTCTACATTCAAAACCGAAATAAACTTTCCATGATAACCTATACCTATTCCTTTCCTCAGGTGTCCATCCTTAGAGAGAAGCTGGGTGTATTTGAGGCAGAGGTGCTTAGTTTAAAGCGTGCTCTGAATGAAGTGAGCAGAGGAGCAGAAGTTGTTGTGAGCCCTAACCTAGCTGCTGCAGGACTTTTACCACCATGGGGAGCTGTCCACTGCCCACGAAACCCCACTGAGCCCTCAACCAACTCCCTCACCCCCACCTCTGACACCCTGCTGAGTCTGCAGAGTGATGAGGCCAAAGCCCAAAGGCAGGAAGCCCAGAGACAGGAGAGGCAGCAACGTGAAGAAGCTCAATGGCGCGACGTGCAGCAGCGGCAAGACGCCCACATGCAGCAGGACATCCAAATGCGTCAGGATGCCCAAATTCGGCCCGAGGCCCAACTCCGTCAGGAGGCCCAGCTTCGTCAGGAGGCTCACCTCCGGCATGAAGCTCAAATCCGTCAAGAGGCCCAACTGCGCCAAGAAGCGCAGCTGCGTCAAGAGGTGCAGCTCCGTCAGGAGGCCCAGCTGCGCCAGGAGGCCCAGATCCGTCAGGAGGCCCAGCTTCGCCATGAGGCTCAAATGCGTCAAGAGGCCCAGCTACGTCATGAGGCACAACTCTGCCAGGAGGTACAACTGCGTCAGGATGCCCACCAGGCACAGCGGGAGGGTCACTGGGATGAAGCAGGGGAGCTGCGCAGGCAGCTAGAGCAGCTGCAGGCCGCATTACGGCTGGAGCGGCAGCAACGGGAACGTCAGGCCCTCAACTTTGACCAGGAACGACACACCTGGCAGGACGAGAAGGAACGGGTTTTGAAATACCAGGCACAGCTGCAGCTCAGCTATGTGGAAACACTGCAGAAGAACCAAGCTTTGGAAAAACGTATGAGCCAGTTGGGAGCCAAACCAACCACAACCTCCACCACCACCACTATTACAACTACCACCACCACCTCCCCCACCTCCTCCAGTTCTCCACCTCCACCACCAGCCCTCTCACCTCTGTCTCCTCAGCCCCCACCCTCTATTTCTGCCCCCATTGCCCTCACCCTGTCCCCACCTTGTGAAGACCAGAAGGGCCCTCCTTCTCTCCACCAGCTTGCCCCTCCCTGGGCAGGACCCTCACGGCTGGAGAGGATAGAGTCCACTGAGATATAGAGACAGCTCCATGAAACGGTCACAAAATACTAAGTTTAATACACACACAGTGATAAGGCCTCTCACACAAAACCACTTGAGCATACAGTAGAAAATCATTTCAGTCTACAATAGAATAAATCAGTACAGTCTGACATACTTTTCAGAACAACTATAGACACTAAACAGCAACAAAGGCCAACTGTAAAATCCAACATTATCAGTAACAAACAGATCAACTTAACAGGAAAGTGAATCACAGTCAAGCTCTCAGTCATTTTTCAACTTTTTAAGCAGCCTTTCTCTCTCTAGTTGCACACAACTACATCATGCATAATCAGTGTTCATGAAAAGTGTGCCATACTGATGGATGGCAGAAACACATCTTGTTAAATGACATTTTTTAGATTACAGCACTAATACAGGGGTCATTTAATGCCCATGCTAGAAAAGGACCAAGACAATCAGGGATATTGTCAGAAATGATCAACAAGAATATTATGCGGTATTTATTCATTGTAAGTCTGTGTCACTGGTAATGTAAAAGTAGAATTAGTGGTCAGAGTGTGTGATGTTAACTTGCATTTTTGGCCAGAGAGCGCCTTACTCCATTCTTTCCAGCATGTATAAGAGGATAAATAATGCTGGGAATAGATGATAAAAAAATATCAAGAGTATGATTATTATTTTCAGTGCTTTAATTATAATATCAGCAAACCAGTTACACAACATCATTACACATGGTGGGACTATTTCATTTAGATCCCAGCGGATGTTGAAATTAAAGGTCACACAGACCGATTCTTGGTTCATTTTTTAAGTCGTATCATGCACAGGGTCCAATATACATGACCCATTTAAACACATCATTAAGACCAACAGAGTTTATATTTTCTACAAATTGAATTAAATAGATATGTTTAGCAGATAATCAACCCAAGCTGGATATAGAATAAGTTTAAAGATGTGGGAGATCCTGGTGCACCTTCACTGCAGATTGTGTCTGCTGTGACTAAAAACGAACGCTAGAGGTCATTACAGAGCTTTCACAGCGTTACCCAACTCAAATTTCTTCTCATTGAGCTGCAAAGAGAATGTGAATGGAAGCACACAATTTGAATTTGGTTATTATGATAATTGTGTCATTCACTCTGTGCATTCACAGCCAAGAAATGTGAGAAAGCAGTTGGTATCCCCAAAGTTAAAAAAAACAAAAAAAAAAAAACATTTTATAGAATGTATGATATACTAGAAAGAAATACTTATAATAGTTATAGATTGTAAATGTGTGTATGAGAGAGTGTATGTGCGCAAGCAGGTGTGTGCATGTGTGTAAACATATGAAAAGCTTCAGCTTATGAGATTGAGGATAGAGGGACTAGTGGCAATACAGCAAGTGAAGATATATTAAGAGCAAAGGGATTTTCTTCAAGTACAGGAAAATGTACATCAAAGCTTGACGCAAGAGCAGTGAGGCTGAAATTTCAAACTGAGGGAGTCTGTATATCCTTGAAAATTCTACTTTCTTCTGTATAGTTCATTTAGACAAAGCAGAGGAGAAGGAAGTTTTTAAAAAAAAAAAAAAATCATAAAAGTGGGGAGTCTGCATCTTTAAAGGGAGCATTCAGGCTAACTGCACTATGTAGTGTCCTACACACAAGTTATGATGTACAGTAGATTCAGATGTGAATATCATGGCTTTTATATGTGTTGTTTATGCCAGCATACAAAGATGTTGCTCAAGAATATTAACTTATCTCTAAGGTATTACATAGTATTATCATCTTTATTACTGTTATTATATTATGGTGAACTGACAGAGAAAATATGTGCCATTTGAGCTTTCCTTTATGTGTTTTTTTTTAACTGTGTAGATAGCCTATTGGCCTACCATAATGGTGCAATCATAGCAACCCTGTCCAAAAATGATGTTCCTTTTGATGTAGGTGATAAATGTAGTTACAGTAATGCATTGTTGAGAGAACAAAATGCTACCAATTTTATACATGTTTCAATTTTATTGTTTGCATTTATGTTACTAGTACTGTTCTGGCTTGATTAAAACCACCCCTTTGTTAAAATTCAGCAGAACTAATAAAGATATGTGAATAATTCAGCACTTTTTGTCATTGAAAAAATTACTTGTCCTGTGGTTGAGAATCTGGAGTTTAGGATTTGATGATGAGTAAATCTCACGGGTTAACCTGATCAGTGGTAGAAGAAGTATTCAGATATGGTACTTTAACTGATATGGAAGTAACAACACCACACTGTAGAAATATTTTTAACAAATTCATGTACTTTGGTAGATGTACTTTCCACCACTGGACCTGGCTGTATAAAATCTATAAACGTATGCAACCTGTGAAGAGGGGGATGCAACATAGCAGTGTTTTATGGGGTCGCAAACCAAAAAGGTCTGGAACCATTGTTCATACAGTATAAGGGTTACTGTTCTTACAAGTCTTCATAACATGTTTGACTAAAGGTATTCTAGGCTAATGAAGTATAATGAAGATAAAAAAAGTGTAATCGTGAGTAAATACTTCCTCAAACCTGGGAGATCTGTGTTCTTCCCTGGGAACAGCATGTATTCTATTGGGGTGTCCTTGAAATGTTGCAAGTGCCAGGGTTGCATCTTGTAAAGATGAGCCTCTAGTTGTGCAACAGATGGTCCAGCCCCCACAGAGCCCTGATCTCAACATCACAGTCAGTCTGGGATTACATGAAGAGACAGCTCTGTTTTATAGTCACAGCAAATATTGATTTAATTTAGTATGTTCTGTTTACTGCACTTTAAATGAAGTTTACTGATGAATAAAAAGTAGCCTACTGTAGGCCTACATCTCCTTGGAGGATATGATAGACAAAATGCATTTGTAAATGTCTAAAACGTAATAAGAGATGTTGAGTAAAACCTATTAAACATCAAAAGGCCGTTGACTTTGTAAGAACCACAAAATGTCAGCGGACAAACAATTAAATTAAACTGATTCCTACCTTACTCAACACCGTTTGCATACTATTGTATCATCCCTTGGACACTAACACATTTCGCAATTAAAAATGTGAAGAATGTCCCTTCTCGGCTTCCTTAGTTTGGTCGGGTAGGCTAATGGTTAGCAACTATTAGCTACCCCTATAATTGGCAAGAGGACCTGTATAAAGAGTCGAAACAGCAAGGTTTGTCAACGTCCAGGCAAAGTGGGCTTCGTCAGCTGTTTAATTTATTTAGTCAACATTAGCGTCGTGAGTCTGGCTCGGCATTTGCAACGGTGAGCGTACTTGAATACACCTGTATTCCATAACATGCTGTTTGAGCCATACGTTCAGGTTAGCTTTGGAATATAAAACAAAATGTATTTAACTTACACGTGAACAAAATGTAGAGTACCTTTATGTGATGTTCCAAACTTCCAACATCAGGGCCAAGAATATTCTTCTGTGGAGTGAACGGTAGTGTCCGGTATCGGTCAGTTTGTTTGGTGAAATTTAACTGCCAGTAGTTTCCAGTAGCTGTATGAGAGATGAACCCATCATAGCACCCGTGTACTTGTAAAGTTAACTTAATCTTAATCTTCCAGTTTTTTTCTCTAAGGGTTTATTGTTTGGTCCATAACAACAACCCCTGAATATAAAAACATCAAGTTACGGTCAGATATTAGATGGAGAAGCAGCAAATGATCACATTTGAGAAGCTGGAACCTACTGCATCTGATTTGTTGTTCATTTTATGTTGACCAACTAACTGATTAATTAACTAAATATTTCAGCAGGATAATTTATTTTCTATGCTTAATTGCCATGAATTTGCTTATTTTATAGTATTATAATTAACTGGACAGATGTCAAACTTAAGTGGAAGTCACTACATTACCTAATACAGTATGAGCTAACCTCCTTGAACTGAACTCACCATTGAAAGTTGTTAATGAGAGGTGAGTCAGTCAATCTGTGAAGGTCATTTTGTTATGAGGTCAGAGGTCTTGTGGAGTAGTAGGTGTAAACACAAGAAAAACTGTATTCACTGAATGCTTCATTTTGCCTCAACATAAAAGCTGACCATAAGGGAAGAATTCTATAGCTCTAAAACCAGTTTGTGTCTTCGCAGGTTCAGAAGAATATGGTTGTAAATCTCTGTCTGCCACAGTTTTACACGACAGTCCATTGCAACAAGGTGCGATATATTTCATTGATCTATTGTGAAGCTATACCTTCCCTCTGCTGTTTACTTTTTATTTCCAATGTGTAATTCTTTCGTAACAGTTGTTATAGTTCTGGAGTACAAAACTGCTGCAACACCCAGGTGACATGTTACTAATGTTAGCAACAATTACTCACTTCAGTCCATTCACAATTCAAGTCATGTCTTATGAGCGCACCACGCTCACCTTATTTTTTTTTATTCTTAAACATGTCCAATACGTGATTGGACGAAAAGGAAGAATCAACGCACATGGACACGAAATAGCACAAGATGGAGGTGGAGGGAAAATATTTGAAAATAAAGAAGCAGGGGGACAAAGTGGAGTGTAGGAGGCTGAATCACAACTGGCCTTGCTATGTTCTTATTGGTATTTACTAATCTGATCATGGTTGTATCTTCTTCCACACTTGGAATGAAAGATGTTCTTTTACTCTTTCAAGAGTTCTTGAATTATATTATCTCACTCCTTTTCTACCTCACCCTTTCTGCCATTCAGTCTCTCATATCATCACCTCTCCTTCCATGTGATGTTGTACACAGTTTTCATTTCCAATGTAACAAGCCCCTGAAACTTAAGAAAACTTAACCAGAATTGGTTATTTTTCTGTTACAGATTTACAACATGTTGTTAATGACCACTTACAAATTTCAGTTACAATTAACATTGTTAAACCAATTTAACTGGACAGACTTGTGAGGTTTGATATGTCTTCCACCAGAAAAATCTGCACATGGTTTCTTAAAATGATGTTCACCATTCTGCTGACTTTTTGCTAGCATTTGAGAGCAGGTCAGGTGTGTATTCTGACATTTTTTTCATTGTCTCCTGTCTCAATGCTGTACACTATCCATTAAAGGCAAAAAAAAAAAAAACTCTTTTTAATAGTCTGCTGGTCACTGGTAATGTAAAAGTAGAATTAGTGGTCAGAGTGTGTGATGTTAACTTGCATTTTTGGCCAGAGAGCGCCTTACCTCCATTCTTTTCCAGCATGTATAGAGAGATAAATAATGCTGAATGTAGATGATAAAAAAATATCAAGAGTATGATTATTATTTTCAGTGCTTTAATTATAATATCAGCAACCAGTTACACAACATCATTACACATGGTGGGACTATTTCATTTAGATCCCAGCGGATGTTGAAATTAAAGGTCACACAGACCGATTCTTGGTTCATTTTTTAAGTCGTATCATGCACAGGGTCAAAATATACATGACCCATTAAACACATCATTAAGACCAACAAGAGTTTATATTTTCTACAAATTGAATTAAATAGATATGTTTAGCAGATAATCAACCCCAAGCTGGATATAGAATAAGTTTAAAGATGTGGGAGATCCTGGTGCACCTTCACTGCAGATTGTGTCTGCTGTGACTAAAAACGAACGCTAGAGGTCATTACAGAGCTTACAGCGTTACCAACTCAAATTTCTCATTTGAGCTGCAAAGAGAATGTGAATGGAAAGCACAAATTTGAATTTGGTTATTATGATAATTGTGTCATTCACTCTGTGCATTCACAGCCAAGAAATGTGAGAAAGCAGTTGGTATCCCCAAAGTTAAAAAAAAAAAAAAAAAAAAAACATTTTATAGAATGTATGATATACTAGAAAGAAATACTTATAATAGTTATAGATTGTAAATGTGTGTATGAGAGAGTGTATGTGCGCAAGCAGGTGTGTGCATGTGTGTAAACATATGAAAAGCTTCAGCTTATGAGATTGAGGATAGAGGGACTAGTGGCAATACAGCAAGTGAAGATATATTAAGAGCAAAGGGATTTTCTTCAAGTACAGGAAAATGTACATCAAAGCTTGACGCAAGAGCAGTGAGGCTGAAATTTCAAACTGAGGGAGTCTTGTATATCCTTGAAAATTCTACTTTCTTCTGTATAGTTCATTTAGACAAAGCAGAGGAGAAGGAAGTTTTTAAAAAAAAAAAAAAATCATAAAAGTGGGGAGTCTGCATCTTTAAAGGGAGCATTCAGGCTAACTGCACTATGTAGTGTCCTACACACAAGTTATGATGTACAGTAGATTCAGATGTGAATATCATGGCTTTTATATGTGTTGTTTATGCCAGCATACAAAGATGTTGCTCAAGAATATTAACTTATCTCTAAGGTATTACATAGTATTATCATCTTATTATTACTGTTAATTATATTATGGTGAACTGACAGAGAAAATATGTGCCATTGAGCTTTCCTTTATGTGTTTTTTTTAACTGTGTAGATACCTATTGGCCTACTCTAATGGTGCAATCATAGCAACCCTGTCCAAAAATGATGTTCCTTTTGATGTAGGTGATAAATGTAGTTACAGTAATGCATTGTTGAGAGAACAAAATGCTACCATATTTTATACATGTTTCAATTTATTGTTTGCATTTATGTTACTAGTACTGTTCTGGCTTGATTAAACACCCACTTCTTTGTTAAAATCAGCAGAACTAATAAAGATATGTGAATAATTCAGCACTTTTTGTCATTGAAAAAATTACTTGTCCTGTGGTTGAGAATCTGGAGTTTAGGATTTGATGATGAGTAAATCTCACGGGTTAACCTGATCAGTGGTAGAAGAAGTATTCAGATATGGTACTTTAACTGAATATGGAAGTAACAACACCACACTGTAGAAATATTTTTAACAAATTCATGTACTTTGGTAGATGTACTTTCCACCACTGGACCTGGCTGTATAAAATCTATAAACGTATGCAACCTGTGAAGAGGGGGATGCAACATAGCAGTGTTTTATGGGGTCGCAAACCAAAAAAGGTCTGGAACCATTGTTCATACAGTATAAGGGTTACTGTTCTTACAAGTCTTCATAACATGTTTGACTAAAGAGGTATTCTAGGCTAATGAAGTATAATGAAGATAAAAAAAGTGTAATCGTGAGTAAATACTTCCTCAAACCTGGGAGATCTGTGTTCTTCCCTGGGAACAGCATGTATTCTATGGGGGTGTCCTTGAAATGTTGCAAGTGCCAGGGTTGCATCTTGTAAAGATGAGCCTCTAGTTGTGCAACAGATGGTCCAGCCCCCACAGAGCCCTGATCTCAACATCACAGTCAGTCTGGGATTACATGAAGAGACAGCTCTGTTTTATAGTCACAGCAAATATTGATTTAATTTAGTATGTTCTGTTTACTGCACTTTAAATGAAGTTTACTGATGAATAAAAAGTAGCCTACTGTAGGCCTACATCTCCTTGGAGGATATGATAGACAAAATGCATTTGTAAATGTCTAAAACGTAATAAGAGATGTTGAGTAAAACCTATTAAACATCAAAAGGCCGTTGACTTTGTAAGAACCACAAAATGTCAGCGGACAAACAATTAAATTAAACTGATTCCTACCTTACTCAACACCGTTTGCATACTATTGTATCATCCCTTGGACACTAACACATTTCGCAATTAAAAATGTGAAGAATGTCCCTTCTCGGCTTCCTTAGTTTGGTCGGGTAGGCTAATGGTTAGCAACTATTAGCTACCCTATAAGTTGGCAAGAGGACCTGTATAAAGAGTCGAAACAGCAAGGTTTGTCAACGTCCAGGCAAAGTGGGCTTCGTCAGCTGTTTTAATTTATTTAGTCAACATTAGCGTCGTGAGTCTGGCTCGGCATTTGCAACGGTGAGCGTACTTGAATACACCTGTATTCCATAACATGCTGTTTGAGCCATACGTTCAGGTTAGCTTTGGAATATAAAACAAATGTATTTAACTTACACGTGAACAAAATGTAGAGTACCTTTATGTGATGTTCCAAACTTCCAACATCAGGGCCAAGAATATTCTTCTGTGGAGTGAACGGTAGTGTCCGGTATCGGTCAGTTTGTTTGGTGAAATTTAACTGCCAGTAGTTTCCAGTAGCTGTATGAGAGATGAACCCATCATAGCACCCGTGTACTTGTAAAGTTAACTTAATCTTAATCTTCCAGTTTTTTTCTCTAAGGGTTTATTGTTTGGTCCATACACCCTGAATATAAAAACATCAAGTTACGGTCAGATATTAGATGGAGAAGCAGCAAATGATCACATTTGAGAGAGCTGGAACCTACTGCATCTATTGTTGTTCATTTTATTGTGACCAACTAACTGATTAATTAACTAAATATTTCAGCAGGATAATTTATTTTCTATGCTTAATTGCCATGAATTTGCTTATTTTATAGTATTATAATTAACTGGACAGATGTCAAACTTAAGTGGAAGTCACTACATTACCTAATACAGTATGAGCTACTCCTTGAACTGAACTCACCATTGAAAGTTGTTAATGAGAGGTGAGTCAGTCAATCTGTGAAGGTCTTTTTTGTTATGAGGTCAGAGGTCTTGTGGAGTAGTAGGTGTAAACACAAGAAAAAACTGTATTCACTGAATGCTTCATTTTGCCTCAACATAAAAGCTGACCATAAGGGAAGAATTCTATAGCTCTAAAACCAGTTTGTGTCTTCGCAGGTTCAGAAAGAATATGGTTGTAAATCTCTGTCTCGACAGTTTTACACGACAGTCCATTGCAACAAGGTGATATATTTCATTGATCTATTGTGAGCTATACCTTCCCTCTGCTGTTTACTTTTTTATTTCCAATGTGTAATTCTTTCGTAACAGTTGTTATAGTTCTGGAGTACAAAACTGCTGCAACACCCAGGTGACATGTTACTAATGTTAGCAACAATTACTCACTTCAGTCCATTCACAATTCAAGTCATGTCTTATGAGCGCACCACGCTCACCTTATTTTTTTTTATTCTTAAACATGTCCAATACGTGATTGGACGAAAAGGAAGAATCAACGCACATGGACACGAAATAGCACAAGATGGAGGTGGAGGGAAAATATTTGAAAATAAAGAAGCAGGGGACAAAGTGGAGTGTAGGAGGCTGAATCACAACTGGCCTTGCTATGTTCTTATTGGTATTTACTAATCTGATCATGGTTGTTATTCTTCCACACTTGGAATGAAAGATGTTCTTTTACTCTTTCAAGAGTTCTTGAATTATATTATCTCACTCCTTTTTCTACCTCACCCTTTCTGCCATTCAGTCTCTCATATCATCACCTCTCCTTCCATGTGATGTTGTACACAGTTTTCATTTCAATGTAACAAGCCCCCTGAAACTTAAGAAAACTTAACCAGAATTGTTTATTTTTCTGTTACAGATTTACAACATGTTGTTAATCGACCACTTACAAATTTCAGTTACAATTAACATTGTTAAACCAATTTAACTGGACAGACTTGTGAGGTTTGATATGTCTTCCACCAGAAAAATCTGCACATGGTTTCTTAAAATGATGTTCACCATTCTGCTGACTTTTGC